TGCCGTTGCGACTTCCAGCTTGTCCCATCAGGGGTCGCCACGGCATGTTACTCAATCACATGATTTGCATAGCACAGTTTTTTTGGGGCGGCTTGATTTTTTTTTTTTTTTTTTTTTTAAATTTAAATATCAGATGTCCTTCTTTGAAGCAAACCATTCATTCTTTAACAGGGCTTGCTTGCGACTGTGGCTGGGAATCAAAACCAGGGCAGATCAATGAAAGGCAGCAGCATATACCACTACAATACCAGTGCTTTGTTTAGACATAGATCAACTTTTCAATCCATTCTTTGTATTGCAGCGGTCCTTGCACTTGGCAAAGAATATTGCCGAAGTGAAGTGGACATCTGCTACTCCATAGTAGATAGTACTGGAAATGTTAACATTAAAAAAAAAATAATAATTGCTAAGATGTGGACTGCCCATATCATTGAATGTGCTGATATACTTGACATGATATTGATAGGTTTACGTTATGACCCTGTACTCAAACTATTACTGGTACGAATATGCAACACGTTAATTTAAGAGTCCTGTCATTGACAAATGGGTGTTAAATGTGGGGTTGATATTTAATTTAAAGCATGGAATCCGTGATAACTGTGTTGGGAGTGGATGTTAATTAAGCAATGTTTGATATGTGAATTTGAAGGTGTAAATAAATGTCCTGTTTTGGTCCAAGCATAATTTTTCCTTGTAATTCTGTCCTCGATCAGTCTTCGCCGTTATCAACATGCATGATCTTTTATATACAGGAGGTCATCCAACAATAGTGTCCAATGTTTGAGCAGTCACACAACCACTGTCACTGGTCAACCGTGCATATTTTATCTGCATCATCCCACATGGCATGAAATCGCGGCACCCTCAGTTTGTTTTTTGTTTTTTTTACAACACAAAGGCAAGACCACTGTTTGTGATGAACTTTAATCATATTTTGGAATTTACCAAAAACTCATGACATGATTTTAAAATCTTTTTTTCTTTCCCCCCATTTTAAGTATCTTAAATAAAGCTGCAAAGCGTTAGCAAAAAAATATATATTTTTAGAGCATAGTTTATTTTACAACACACGGTAGTAGTAATGGATACATTTTAAAAGACTTGGCTTATTGTCGTCTTCACAGTCATGCATCATGACAGTACAATGAAGTTCTCCATCAATAGCAGACTGCGTGGCAATTCTCATCACAGAGGCGCAGTTTACAGAGGTTCATCTCGTTCCACTGTCATCTATGTCCAACATAACGCACATCTATTGAAACACATCTCTTAATCTTAGACCTCATAGTTCCTCCTGGATCTGAATTCAGAACCCCCACTATTCACGGAGGAATCGTTGAAGCCCCATCATTTCATCCCAGTGAAATGTTTAGAACTGCCTACATTATAAATTCAACAGGCGGCCCGGTAGTCCAGTGCTTAGTACGTCGACTTCACAGTGCAGAGGTGCCGATTCCAGCTCCGGCCTCCCTGTGTGGAGTTTGCATGTTCTCCCCGTGCCTGTGTGGGTTTTGTCCGGGTACTCCGGTTTCCTCCCACATTCCAAAAACATGCATGGCAGGCTGATTGAACACTCTAAATTGTCCCTAGTGTGGGTGTGGATGGTTGTTCGTCTCTGTGCGCCCGGCGATTGGCTGGCGACTGATTCAGGGTGTCCCCCGCCTACTTCCCAAAGACAGCTGGGATAGGCTCCAGCACCCCCCGCGACCCTAGTGAGGATAAAGCGGTTCGGAAAATGAATGAATGAATGAATGAATAAATAACACAATCCATTGGCGATACAACAAACTGTGAGCTCAAAACACGTGTTAATTCTTGTGCATTTATAAATAAATTGGGAAAAATTGGGGGGCGGGGGGGGATGCTCTAACAACCCAGACGACATTTAGCTCCTCCCTAACACAGGTAAATTGGGAAAAATTGGGGGGGGGGGATGCTCTAGCAACCCAGACGACATTTAGCTCCTCCCTAACACAGTTAGTCTGTCAGTCGAGATGTATCACATACTGATTTTTTTTTTCTCTGATGGAAACGGCATTTAGATTTTATTGTTAGCAGCTTTGTGGCTGGTAAAATGCACGATATCAATCACTGGCCAAATTGCACTGTCATCCAGGGTAAATTTCCCACTCAAGTGACACCAATCCACTCAAACTGGGTACACACCCTGTTTCCCAAAGTAGCCTGCTGTTCAACAGCATATTTGTTGACACGAATCGGTGGAGTCTTTTGATGTCAGTCTGGTTAATAGGTTGGCTGGAGGGCACCTCAGTCTTTCACGCAACAGCTCGATCTTGCCTCAAAGGCCCCAAGAAGAATAAGTTTGTTGGCACAAGGAGAGATGAGAATGTTAAATGCTTGACTTAAAATTAAAAAGAGCATTGCTTATGGTCAGAGCTGTTGTCTGCATCAATTCATTCTCTAAAATAGGGAACATTAAATAGTCTTTGTAGCGCATTCAATTAAATGTAAGTTGAAAGGATGAGCAAATCAGTGTATTCTGTTTATACAGTATTTACATTTTATGTAACTTCAGAACATCATTCGAATTGGGGTTTTTAATTTCGACAGGTGCCATTTTGTCTGCTGCAAAATTTTTCACATTTTTCAAGATGCTACAAAATGCTTGTGTGGGATGAGGACTTCTTGGAATCCTTCCACACGAGAAATCAGTCATGAACCAGCTGGCTCTTTCTGTTGAATCGTTGAAAAACACAGGGACCGGTTCCTGATTGGCAGCCAAATTTCTGGCTCCTCTCATCTCTGACTCGCCATTTCTTAAACCAACAGTGTCATTGAGAGGAGTAAAAAAAAAAATTACAACTGGTTAATGACGCATGTTGAACCTTCATTTTCCCATTACTGTCTCCACGACTGTCGTTGCGATGTTGCCACCTCATGCAATGGCAATTCATATATTGAATTGCCGCAAAAATAGTAGCCAAGACTGGTAGAACCCCACTTGCTGTGTGAGGGTTGCACAATTTAGTGGATCCTGCCAGGCGGTGTGGTGAGTTGCCCTGTCAAGTGGAGGTTGTGTGGCTGTTTGGGGCAAATGGAAATGTGGCAATATACCGGTATGTGAATGCATATACATATTAATGCATATCCTTTATCATGTTTTTTTTAAATAGCTGTTTATTACACATTTTTTGGTCACAAAGTGAAGCAACAAAACAAATGAGGGGCCAAAATATATATTTTTTTAGACTTAAAGAACCAAATAATACCAGTCACTATTCCATTCAAAAATGGAGGTCTAAAAAAAAAAATGCTATTATGGCCCCCATTTTCCGGACCCTCACTAGGGTCGCGGGGGAGGGGGGGGGGTGCTGGAGCCTATCCCAGCTGTCTTCGGGCAGTAGGCGGGGGACACTCTGAACCGGTTGCCAACCAATCGCAGGGCACACAGAGACAAACAACCACCCACGCTCACACTCACGCCTAGGGACAATTTCAAGTGTTCAATCAGCCGGCCATGCATGTTTTTGGAATGCGGAAGGAAACCGGAGTACCCGGAGAAAACCCACGCAGGCATGGGGAGAACATGCTATCTCCACACAGGAAGGCCGGAGCTGGGATCGAACCCACGAGATTGTGAGGTGAACGCGCTAACCACTCGACCATTGGGAAAAATGTCAGCCTTTCGAGCTGCTTTGTCTTGTTAATCTCTAATTTTCCCTAATAATCGAAAAATCTATCGCAAATAACATCTAATAAAGCATGTACTCTAAAAACAGGCATCATAAGAGAGTTGGAGCACTTCACACTTAGCATCAAACAGATATTGGGGAATGGTGAGCTAAATATGGATTTAGAAATGCAATTTAGCTTTGCGAAAACATGTTGCAGGTATCTCATTGAGATGTCATGGTTATTTCAAAATTACAGTAGTATGTACTCGATGCATGGGAAGTACTGTGCTGAACTACATATTGAGAGCACTCAGCTATTGTTTGACTACCCCCTGGTGGACAAAGAGTTGACATGAATAATACAAGAAGCGACAAACATCACGTTAGTATTTCTCGCCATTCAGTACAATTTTTCACCCTGCGATGTCTTATGTCATTCGCTATTGGCT